CATTATTCCGACGGAGCTCAGAAACACGATCCGCTTCTAACAATGGTCGCGGCCAGACTAACCGATGCACGTGAATGAAACTTTGTGTGACGGTAGAGGGAAGTCCAAGGGTCAATGCCCTACCCTCCTCTTCGTCAATGACGTGGCCGGAAATGAGTCATAAAAGTAATCCGGTTTCTTTATTGCCACACCTTGTAATATGGGTCTTTATTGTAGGAGAGGGTGGTGAGTGAACACAAAAATATATAAAACCAGAGACAAGGGCCCTCTTAAAAACTTTCATTATCTTCTATCTCATTTTTCCCCAGTCATATTATTAGTCTAGATATGAAAGTAGATGCCAAGACCACCTCATAGTTAACACCATCTGTCACATAGTGGGAGTTAATTATGTCCTCCATGAGTGCATCACACGCACACACACCTGTGTATAAGCAGATGGGAAGGTTCATTCTTACAGAAACCACTGTCACTGCCTAAGTTCAAGAAAAGCATTTCTCTCATTCTACAGAAATATTTACTTTATTTACATATGTATCTCAGTGAGTTCTGCAATTTTTATTTGAAATAAATTTTTATAACATTTAATTAACTAAAGGGGGAGAAGAGGCATCCAAGCAGGATTTTGCTGGGAAAGGCAGAAGGCAACATACCATTAGGAAGATCTATATGTAAGTTAAGGAATGATATTAAAATGGATCTTTGAGAAATAGTATGAGGTATGGACTGCATTGATCTGATTCAGGATAGGATGCAGTGCAGGGCTCTTATGAACACAGTAATAAACCCTGAGGTTAAGTAAAATATTTGGGGAAATTCTTGAGTAGCTGAACATCTGAAGGTTTCTCAAGAAGGACCCAGCTCCATGAAGCTAGTCTGTTAGTTAATGAAAGATATGCTTCTTCATTTATGCTCCTACAAATAGCAGGAGTATGTTCATACTATTCTGAACTAAAATTAAATATTCAGAACAACTTCCCATACTGAATTTTAACAAAATCCATTAAGTTGTAAAGGGAATCCATCCTACATGCTGCAAGACAAACAGACAGACAAAGAAGTGAAACAAATGTTTACCGTTTCTGAAATCCTTTCCTGCCATGTGCAGATTTTAATATGTTCCTTTACTGAACTACCATTTTGAACAAAGTTAGTCTTATGAGATCTAAGTTCCCATTGTGCTGAAAGATCAAATTGTGATCTTCTGGATTCAGACTCCAAGTAGTCATGTAGGTGTTTACTGGTATTTTGGAGAATCAAGCTGCCTCAATCATTACCTTTCTTTCACCTATATGACTACACAATTTCACAACTTAGAAGAATATAAATTTATTCTTATTTAACATTTCACGTATTTCATTCTTGATGGAAAGTCATACTTTACTCACTTTATGGATTCATTAATGGATTTGAAGTTCACTAAACTGGGCAACTAATAAATCGCTGCAATCATTCTACTGTTCTTCTAACTGGGTGGGTTACTGTCACAATATTCAGTGCGATCATAATAAACAAGTGCTTTGACAACTCCAAATCATGGTGAAGAAAAATCTTTGTTCTTAATTTCTATTAATAGTTTCAGAACTGTTTTAATTATAAACAGAATTATAAGAAATCTAACTGGATCACAAAACACTATTTATCTAGAAAAACGATGCCTAAAATTCCACTATGTCTGAAAGTCTGAAAGTGTGAAAGCAGAGCAGGATGTCATATGAAATGGTACATTCATTTAGTGTAAAATGTGGTCTTTCTCAAAATTCTCCCTGCCTGTTAGACAGATGGCTTCATCTCTCATTTTAAATGTATCAGTAAAATCATTTAAGAATTAAAGAATAGATTAGGAAGAAGGATAGAATAAATGAAAGTAGTAGAATATGGATGGCAGGAGGAGAAAATGAAGCAACAGAGAAAATGGAGACAAGAAGTAGATAACAATTTAAGACAACTGTCATACTATACCTGGTGTGTAGTTGACATTTCCTTGCAACAACTTCTCATCCAAATTAATAAAGAATTCAGCTGTGGCATTGAGGTCCCTTCCATTTATAACTGTGCCATTTACAACATACAGAGGACTTTTGCCTGTGTACTTTCCTTTCAGATAAGTTAGATCTCTCTGTGTCTTCTTCTACAATAAATAAAAACAATATAAAGAATTGAGTATGCAGTGATTAATAAATAATCCTTCATTTACAGGAAGTTGTCATGTGCTTCCTGTAAAGGAACAACGTTTTATAATAAAGCTGAATATGTAATTAAAATGGGTGGTCAACCACAACCAAAACATTTAGTGTTTAATATAATAAACTGATTGATCTACTGATATATTTAATTGATCATTATATATAATTCATAATTTACTTACATCAATAAACTGTTACACAAGTACAGTTGGATAAGTCAGTTTAAGCCATCTAAAACACTACAAGTCAACAACTCTCAAAATGTACAAAACGATACACAAGACAAAGAACAATACGATCATCTCAGGATCTTAGTCCCCCTGCTGAAGCTTAGCAACCGAGGATGACAACCACCAACAATTTAATATAAAGCAACACATACACTTATATCATCTATATTCATCCACACCACATCAGCACCAACCCAAGCCACCAAACTACTGTCCATCATTGTTACTAAAAAACTCCTGCAGAGAATAAAAACAGTTTTGTAATAAATAACTTTTTAATTCATTTTTAAAAACTCTAAAATTTTCTGTTCTTAATTATGGGGGCAAGCTGTTATGTATTTTAATTCCCATGTTAATTACACTTATTTTGTAACGAACAGTGTTGCATGTTTGAACATACAAATCTTGTTTTCTTTTAGCATTATGCTTGTGAGTGTGAGAACATGAGCAGTTTGGATCTTGTTCTGTTTTAAGAAGCATAAGATCTCATACATATATATATATACACTGGACAAATATGAAGCACAAGAAATACTGGGGATCCTTAACTGGACTCAAGCAAGCAAAGGGACTCATACGAGGCCCCTCTGCTAAAAGAGCATAGGAACTGTTGAAGTTAAACAGGAACCAGGTACGATGGGTGGTGGGACTACTTACAGGACACTGTCAACTCAAAGGACACCTCTTCAAACTGGGACTAAGTGATAGTCCCACTTGTGAGAGGTGTGAAGAAGGAAATGAAACAGCCACACATATCCTGTATGAATGTGAGGCCTTAGCTTATTTAAAATTATGTCACTTGGGTCAATACTTTACGGAACCAAGTGACTATTTCGACGACCCCACATACTAAATCCCGTGCTCCATTCAAAGTGCAGGATTGCTGACGGGATAATCAAAAGAGGAAGCACGATAGACCACCGTGGTCACGGTGCAAGGGTCCAGAAGGCCCACCCTTTATACATTCATTCATTCATGATATATATATATATATATATTGTGACATGTTGACCCCTACCTCCCCAGCTGCACATAGCGGTAATGTAGCGCTTGCGTAATAGGCGAGTCACCATCCCGCCA